AATCGACACCGAATTCTCAAAAATTTATTTCTATGAGATTTCTAAAAGTTTCTCAAATTTCTATCTCAAAACACTAATTAAATGGTGGAAAACAATGATATATTCGTGTATATTGACCAAATTCGAGTTAGAATTACTTACCCCAATATTTTTCCTTGAAAAAAAATCAAAATCGCCTTTCCTCAAGCTCTAATTCGTCAAAAATGGCAAATGGGACGAATTCCCGTGTTTTTATAACTTACATATCTGTCAGGGAGCCCGATTTTGACAGGGAGCCCGTTTTTGTCAGGGAGCCCGTTTTTGACAGGGAGTCCGAGGGAGCCCGATTTTGACAGGCAACCCGATTTTGACAGTATTTCTAGTAGAAAAATTACAGCAGCTTTTGGAGCAGCTAAGTCCCACTTTTGATCCGTTAACTATCTGAAACTCACCTAAGGCCCTCGGGACCTCAACCCAATATACCAATAAGTCCTAAAACATCATACGAGCTTATTTGAAACCTCAAATCAAATCAAACAATGTTAAAATCACAAATCACACCCCTATTCAAGCTTAATGAAACTCAAGAATTTCCAACTTCTACATTCGATGTCGAAACCTATCAAATCAAGTCCGATTGACCTCAAATTTTGCACACACGTCATTAAATGACATAACATAGCTGTGAAAATTTTCAAAACTGGATTCCGATCCCAATATCAAAAAGTCAACTCCCCGGTCAAACTTCCAAACTTAAATTCCTATTTTAGCCATTTCAAGCCTAATTTCACTACGGACATCCAAATAAAATTTTGATCACGCTCCTAAGTCCAAAATCACCATTCAGAGCTGTTGAAATCATAAAAATGCTATTCCGGGGTCGTTTGTACATAATTCGACATCCGGTCACTAATTGAACTTAAACTTTTAAATTTCCATCAAAATTCCATATTTGGGGCTAGGGACCTCGGATTTTGATTCTGGGCATACGCCCAAGTCCCAAATCACGATACTGACCTACCGGAACTGTCAAAATACTGATCCGAGTCCGTTTGCTCAAAATGTTGACCAAAATCAACTCAGTTGAGTTTTAAAGTTCTAATTCACATTTTAATCCATTTTTCACCTAAAAACTTTTCAAAAAATTTTACGGATTACGCACGCAAGTCGAGAAATGATAAATAGTACCTTTTAAGGTCTTAAAATATAGAATTAATTATTAAAATTAAAGATGATATTTTGGATCATCACAAAAATAAATGTTAGTATATGAATGAATAGACTTATCAGAAAGTTCAATATATTCTAGTTTGGACCGAAGTGCTAGTATTTTACCTATGAACCAATCATTTAAATACTCGACCAAATAAAAACAATCATACATATTATCTAATTGAATGTAACATAAACTTGAATTTTAAACATAGCTCATAAAAGATGTTCTAGTTTTTCCACCATATTAATGACGTAAAGTTTTCATTTAAACTTTACATTTTTATGTCGACATATTACGCAGTTCATGTTTGGAAAGGATTTGTATTAGCTATAATTTTAATTGCTTTAAAAGTATTAAATATTTGGACTTTTTATATAGTATTATTTTAAATATCAAAAAGGGCCAAAATGTCCCTAAGGTATTGAAAATAGCTCAATTTTGTCCTACTTCCACCTATTGGGCCATAAATGCCTTTAACGTTAGTTTTTGGGCTCAAGCTTACCCTTATATCTAACAGAAGTGCCAACAATACCCCTAACGTATTGAAAATGGCTAAGAAATACCCTCTGTTAACCTTTTGGTCCGCAAATGCCCCTAACGTTTGTTTTTGGGCTCAAACTTACCCATATATCTAACATAACTAACCTGGTCAATTTTTTTACTTTAACTTCGCAACTGCTTAGCACATTAATGGATTTCACATGATCTTTTCAATGGGAACTAATAGTATTTTAATATATAATGATAAAGCTAAAATATTAGCAAAAACTGTTGTTCCATTGTCATATTTGCTTAATAAATTCGAGTTATAGATCATAATTAATAGAAAAAACTACACCGTATAATTTCTCTTAAAAATAATATCATGTAAAATATATATTAAAATACTAATGTATAATATACATATTTTTATATATAATCAATGTATATTGTTTATATATTTAACTAGTGAATGTAATTATTTTTAGCCGACCGTCCAAATATGAGTTTTTAGTCAAAATTGTCCCTTATCTTTGGGGCTAAGTCTAACTTTGTCCTTTATCTATTGCCCTGAGCACTTATTATCCTTTAAGTTTGCTAAACTTGAGCAGGTTTAGTCCATTTAACAAATAACCCAAAGGGAGACCTAATAACTAACACTGATTTCACTGAGTCAACTTGGTAAAGAAACTTTCAGTACTCAAATTTTGCAGAACCGATGTAGTGAACCTAAACTTGTTTAACAGTCCGGATTAACCCGGTTCTGGATCGGCCCAGACTAGTAGTAAACCGGACCGGCCCAGATCGGTGGAAGGTGGCCGGGTAGGGCTGGGTTTGAGGGGCTAGGGGGTTGTCCGTGTATATATTTTTTACCGGTTAACCGGACCGGTCAAACCCGATCAATAAAAATTACTGTTGAACCGGTCAAGAATATTAAAAAACAATCTTAATAAAAAACAATCTTGAATTTTAACCGGTTCAAATATATAGGAGCGGGTCAGGGTCGTTGGATATTTTAAAAGATATAGGTATGTTTTATAATTAAAGATTTTAAATAATTTTCTTTCCATCTGTTTCTTTGTTTCTCCTTTAGAATCATATGAATAGAACATTATCATTTTTATGTTTGCAAATTAAAATTTATACTTGTTAAACTTGTTAAGATTTACAAAATTTGAAGGAAAAACTATACCGTATAATTTCTCCTAAAAATAATATCATGTAAAATATATATTAAAATATTAATGTATAATATACATATTTTTATATATAATCAATGTATATTTTTTATATATTTATCTAGCGAATGTAATTATTTTTAGCTGATCGTCCGAATATATAGGAGCGGGTCAGGGTCGTTAGATATTTTAAAAGATACATATAGGTTTATTTAATACAAATAATACACGTGGCGGATTAAGAAAATATCACATGGCGAAATTAAAGTCAAAAAATTGACCAGGTTAGTTCTGTTAGATATATGGGTAAGTTTGAGCCCAAAAACAAACGTTAGGGGCCTTCTGTTAGATACAGGGGTAAGTTTGAGCCCAAAAACTAACGTTAAGGACATTTATGACCCAATAGGTGGAAGGAGGGCAAAATTGAGTCATTTTCAATACCTTTGGGGCATTTTTGGCCCTTTTCCGTTTTAAATAAGGAAGGATTCAATATACAAACTTTTAGGTGATTATAAGATCCTAAATATATTAGGTAAATAATCAAATGACTATTTTATCCAATGTGAACTCTATTTTTAAAAAGTAAAAAAATCAGACGATATTTCGCTAAAGGCTTTCGTACTTTTAATATAGTATAGATATAGATAAATTACGTTTTACACAAGTATATGAAAAAAGAAAAAAAGTAAAACACCCCAAAATTAAACCCCACGACTACATAATTCCCAAACGTTGGATTGCCATAACAATCCTAATCTACCTCCACGTTCTCCACTTCTCTTACTTTCTCCTATACATTTATTATTTATGCCATTTGTTTTTCAAAATTATTTTTTTCATTCTCTCTTTACTCTGCTCTGAATAATATTCTTAGAATTTGAAAGTTAAAGTTGTCCGAATTTAAAAAATTGCGGATCGTTTCAAACCTGAAATACCATTTTTTTTTTCTCGAGTTGATTTTAAAGGATGCAAGGGTAACATATTCAACTTTCTCATATTTTTTACTTCAAACTAAATCATAACTTATTGTATCTGTAAAATCTGTATGTCAATTTTCTTAGACGCTAAGATGACTCCTATATATTCAATATTGGACGATAAATTCTCAAAAGCTTATATTGTCTCATTTTCTCATACATTAAACTTCCTCTTTTTCAATTTTATTGATTGTTACTTAGCCATTTGGTTCTAAAAATTATAAATATTTGAATTTGTAGTAAGCATATAAGTAAAAAGAAATTATCTGTCGCATGTAGATATTGTATTCATTTAATTACTTCACTCGTTTTGTTACTTCACTCTAATCAATACTTACTTTGTTCTTTTTGTTAGTACTGTTTTTATGCAACATGTTAGTTATTTGAACTATCGGATATTTAAGAAATGTGTTGCCGAATTTAAGATTCATGAAGAATTTAATCATTCAGTCTTTGTAGGAGATATATTTTATAGTTGTCAAGTCCTCGCGAGGAGTTATTTGCCAGGTTGATGTAGTCCATAATGCGAAATCAATTTCTATACCTTCACCTATTTGTTTCGCATGTTGTTTTCTAACGATAATGGTTAGAGGAAGTGTCTATGAAGCTTTAGAAACTTATTTTATATTTTATTCGAAACCCGAGCCAGTGTAACTCTCTGTATTTTATATTTATCAGGAGAGGGTATATATAGTGATGACAGTATATGTCCTTCCTCCTCATTGGTTGCATTAGAAAAATTATAAAATATATATAAATATTTAACTGCGAACCCAATAGCTAAGACGAGTTATGTGTTCGGTGACGAATTCAGAACCCATAAACTTCAAATTCTAGTTTCGCCTCTGATAAATATTACAAAACCAGAATTCTTTCAGGCTCCTTTGTATCAGCCGTGTTTTTAAACTAATATTTTTATATGATAAATTATATTTAATATTTTTCGCGCAACACGTGAGTACGGATACTAGTGAAATTGCAATAAGAATTAACCCAAATAACAGTCAACTCAATCTCTTAAACTAAAAATAGCGACGGATATAATATATTTATAATTTATATATAATATGTGTATAACGGTATATAATCGAAATAAGCTAAAAAGGAGTAAAAAGTAAATGTGACCTATTTGTGTATCAATCTTTAACAAAAAATAACCGGGCTAAGGGCTAAGTGAAGGGACCAAATGTACATCGCCCTATTTAGAACGTTAGGTTCTGTTTCTTCCCCACTTCTCTCTGCCGTCCGATCTCAGTGTGTAACGCAGTCAAACACCAAGCTATAGAAGTTATCACAAAGCGCGCCAAATACAAAATAAACCTCCTTTTCCCCTTCCTCTCATTTATCCTCTCTGAGGAAGCAAAGCAAACGAATTTTTTTTATAGAAAAACACAGAGAATTTCTGATTCAGCTGTAGGGTCATCTGTCAAGTAGCTAAGGTTAGGTCATATAATTATGCATTGTTATTATTATTTAATTCCTTAAATATTTACTTATTAAGCATTGTTATTTTATGCATTTTTAGGTTTAGGGTTTTGATAGTAGTGTGTTTGAAGATGGCGGAAGCACCGGCGAGTCCAGGAGGTGGTGGAAGCCATGAGAGTGGGGGTGAGCGGAGCCCTCAATCGAATGTGAGGGAACATGATAGGTAATATTGAAGTATACGATCATCTCATCTAAAAGTTTAAGCCGTTACAGAAAAAACTTTTAGATGATGTATCATCTAAAAGTTTAAGCTGTTAGAAAAAATACATTTTATTTACTTAATTATATTCTGCACAGGTACCTTCCTATAGCAAACATTGGTCGCATAATGAAAAAAGCATTGCCTACTAATGCTAAGATTGCCAAGGAAGCTAAAGACACTGTTCAGGAATGTGTCTCTGAGTTCATCAGTTTCATCACCAGCGAGTAAGCTTGCTTTTTATCTGATCAAATCTCATAGTAGGAAAAATCTGGCTGGGAATTTACTATAAGTTAGCAGAGGCGGATCTAGTATTTAAAATAGATTCAATCTTAAGGTTCTAAGCAATGAACGCGCGGTACTTTTAAAATCACGGACGGATTCTGAATTAATATTTATTGAAAATTTTATGTGTGTTTGTGTGTGTATATATATATGTGTGTGTGTGTGTGTTCTTGGGCTCAGTTGAACCCATAGATAATACACTCCATCTGCCTTTGAATCCAAGTGGTTCAACGAAGAGAAAAGAACAAAATAGTTAGTGACAGGAAACCGCTGTCAATACGAGTCAAGAGTTTAGAGAGCTTCATAAACATAAGGATTATTTGATGAAGTGAGGTGTTTCATTGCTGGCATCATGGAGGTGCAATAAGTACAGAAGTAAATACGTTAGCTCCATTACATGATGTTATGCTAGTACGGAAAAACCAAAAAATGTGGGGGGAAAGAACACAAATCTGTGTCTAAGTTAAGGTTAGGGAACTAACAAAGTCTAGAAATCAACAATATTATTTACATGGGACATACTGGTCCAACCAAAATGACAGAGTAAACATATAGCCTTCAGGGAGTGATTTGGAGTTGAAATTCTATTAAAACATTAGCGATTTCTCTCTGTCCGTAGGCACCTTCATTAACATAAGAATTTATGTGAAGTTTGATGTGTTGTTCATTTTACTTTTACAAATGTTTAAATTTGAAGTGGAATTCTTGGAGTTATATATTCTAGAACACTTTACTTCTCCTTAGAAAGTTTCTTGGGATCTCTTTTAGGCTTAAAATATGGTGGGATTCAAGTATTTTTTGCTATCATATTCTCTGAATATGTTTTTTGTGCTTATGGATATGAGTTAAGTAATTTGTTAAATTTGTTGAAAGTATTAACTTGTTCGAAATGTAGGCGTGCTTCTCCATTTATGAGTTCCAAAATTTTGTAAACAATAGCAAGAGCCGTTTGCTAACTATTTTGAGCATTTCAAGAACATTTGCCAAGCAACCTCCTCTTCTGAAAGACTAGAGATGGTGTTTCTATGTATGGTTAAAAAAGATGCAAAGACACATGCAACAGTACTTCAACAAAGTTTAGCTATCAACTTTCTGAAGAAGCAAGTAAAAAGCTTTAGCTAATCGCCAAATTTTGAAACAGTCAGCTTCCTGTGGCCAATCCCCTATGTGCTTGGCCTACTCCCTGTCACTGCTTTTCCCTATTTGCCTACACCACTATATCCTTTCTATAAGAGCCAAGGGGGCACATGAAGACCTGGAGATAGGAAACTGTGTCATTTGATCTGAGAGCAGAAAAAAAAGGGAAGAGGAATTGATGATTTATACTAATGGGTGAGAAACAGCTGCCATTTGATGATGCTGTTGAGAGAAACAGAGACAAAAGAGGGGACACGAGAACAACAAGGGCTCCTGTCCTTCTGTCCTGAGTTTGTGTGTAACGGAGACACCAGGGAGGAAGGGGAAAATAAAAGAAAAGGAAAAGGAAGGAAGCAGTGGAGGGAAAAAATGCTGGCAGGTCGGCATGTATTAAAAAATAAAACTCGGTGGGTCAGTCTATACTTGGGTATTGTGTGGAACAATCCTTGGCTAGGATCGATAAAATTCTAAGTGATCTTTTTTTCTTCTTCTATATTTAAGTAAAGTTTAAGTGGTCTTTTATACTAGAAACCATTGTCAATTATTTTATATTATATTTTCAACTTTTAGATTCAAATCAGAAAAAAGCTTGTTTTCATTTTTTTGGTACAGAGAAACATAAAACTAAAGATATTACAGCAGATCCCCTTAATTTTCTTTCTTTATGTTTCTCGAACTAGGATTTTAGGTATTCAGCTTCCGGCTGCACAAATATTTTTCCTTTTGTTTTGCTATAAACAATTGAAAGTTGGTGGCAATTGCTACTTTCCCCCTTCCAAATTGATTGTGCTCGTTTTTGTTAACTAATGTCCTAGAAGACTGGTACCCACATCTTTGTTATGGTATTCCCAATTGCCAAGTCTCAAAAAAGTTATTCCCACTTGGAAAAGAATATTTGTCATTAGTCACAACCATGTATAGATGATGGTAAAAAGTAAACATCAAAGTTATGACGACACCCACTTATTTTTCTTATTGATTTATCTGTGTGAAAAGGTAAAAAGGGAGCATTGAAGGTACAGTAACAACATGCTCTTAGTTGTGGAATAAGAAAGAAAACATAAAAGTTGGCCTCCAAACAGAATAGAGGCATTATATTTCTAGTTCAACTCCTTCCCTTTGGGCAGCAGGGGTTGCACCTATCCTTCACTTGTCCAAGATTTAAAGGTCAGATAACAATATGTCGAGGTTGAGGACCAACTCGCTAGGTGAGCATCTTCATCTTCCACTTTGCAAATTGATGGTTCAAATCTAAAGTAGCGTGTCTTTCACTTTTTTCACTTCCTCCTCCCTATATGCAGTTAAAAAAATCCAATAGACCATGTCAATTGTATATCTGAAAAAGAGGCCACCTTGGTTGGCTATTTACAAGGATAACTCACTTACTTCTCAAGAGGAAACACACATTCTTAAAGGAAGCAAAATAAAGTATAAAGCTTTATATAAAATGTTTCTAACTCAATATTAGATGATCTTTACTTAAGGCTCCTAAGGCCTTTATATAGGCGTACATCTTAAGTAATTTCTTTCAAGAATCAATGTGGGACAAACTCACTAAAAGATAAGAATGACAACTAATCTATCAAGATAAGGATGCTAAATAATCCATCAAAAATAAGGATGACAATTGTTGAATCATCATCATAGGACAAATTGTTGTATCATCACATGATAAGCTGCAATATCAGCAAGTGATAGGCTCATGTGTCATTCTTCTGGTGTTGGAATATGTCCAGCTTCAAATTTGAGTTTCTTTTATGTCTGCCATAGTAAGGAGACAAATCAACAACATTAAAAGTAGTAGATACATCATAGTCTGCAAGTAGTTCAATCTTATAGGCATTATTGTTGATAGTCTCCAAGATATGAAAAGTGTCATTTGCTTCAAGACATAACTTCTTACGAGACTTAGGAAAACATTCTTTCCTTAAGTGAATCCATACTAGATTTCCTTCTTTGAAAATAACTTGTTTCTTGTGTTTGCTGGCTTGCTTTTCATAGCGAGCAGTTTGAACCATAGTATCTCAAACTTCCACGTAAAACTTCGTGATGTAAAAGAGAATGCGAACCACTTCCAGTCGCAAAAGAATGACGCAAAAGCTGATCACTTGCTGATATGACAAGTTATCACTTGTTGGTGGAACAACTTATCATATGATGATGCAACAACTCATCATATTATGATTCAACAACTTGTCATATGATGATTCAACAACTTGTCATCCTTATCTCTGATTGATTAGTTGTCAATTTATCTTAATAGATTAGTTGTCATTCTAGTCTTTGGTGGATTTGTCCTACATTGATTTTAAAGTAAAACTACTTAAGACGTGAGCCTATGTAAAAGCCCATGAGCCTCAAGTAAAGATCATTTTGTATTGAGTTATAAACCTTTTATATAAAACTTTGTGTTTTGGTTTGCTTCTTTTAAGAGCGTGTTTCCTCTTAAGAAGTGAGTTGTCCTTGTGAATAGCCAACTAAGATGGCCTCTTCTCCGGCTATCATGTCATAGTGGGGTTCCTAACCTCGCCAGTATTGGCACACACCCCGATGTTCCGGCATCACCAGCAAACTGAGAATAGCACCTATTAAAGCAGCTTTTTTTGGTTGGCTAGTAGTTAGTGATGCCCGCCAAACTCAGCATAAGTTACAGAGGAGAGGGTTTTCTCTGTGCAGTAGATGTTATTTTTGCAACTCAGAGGAGGAAACAGTTGAGCATCTCTTCTTGCATTGCAAATCTCGAACATAATGGGCATTTCTTTGGTTGGTGCTACCTCAAAAGATTAGTAGCTTGCTGGAAGTGTGGCAATCCCCGAGAGTAAAAAGGAGCTTAAAGCTAATATGGGAAACTATTCCCAACTGCATAATGTGGACATTATGGCTGGAGCGAAATAAAGCATGCTTTGAAGCGAAGAGACTGTAGATTGCTAGAGTAAAAAACAAATGTATTAAAAATTTGTATTTCTGGTTTTATAGCAGTTCTTTAGATGAGATGGACCAATATTTGGATTTTTTGCACTTGTTAGGAGAAAATATGTAGTATGAATTAAGTAAGAGTTGTAGTCTGGTCCTGTACTTTTTCTATGTACCATCTTGGTACCAGCTAATCCCACGAATTCCAACGGGTGAATACCCTACTTCATATATTCTCTCCTTAGATTGTTGGAGATTTTCTGGAATTGATTCGTGGGAAACGAGCCCAAGTGAATTTAGTGCAACAGGTGATTGATGATCTCACCCTAAAATGAATTTTTAAGTTGCTTTTATTACAATATTTTCTGAAACATATATTGGTTTCTCTATGGATTTTATGACTTTAATTGAACATTGCATGAATGGGACAAGTACTTGCATCTTAACATTGCACATAGCATGTTGGCTATGACTATATGACTATTTTGCAATGTGAATATTTATATGATAGGATTAAATTGCTTTGAATATGATTTTGATTAATCGTATAATATAAGAATGCTATCGGCTATGTGTATGAAATGATATGTGTAACAAAATTATGACTATGAGAATCTTATGATATTTAACAGAAACGTTTAATATTGTTTTACAACTTAGGTGGTATATAGAGAGTACATTACAAACCAAAAAAAGAAGATTAATATCGTTATCAATGCGGATGTTTCAAGAATAAGGTATGATATTTGATTCGTTACATGAAACGTCTTAGAGTCAAGATTTACATTTGAACCATATATGTATACATCATTTTGAATGTAGAAAGGTTCTTTTTTTTTATAAGTAATTAAAGATATTATAAATTTATGCACTAAGCCAGTGCATCAGGCATAATTACAAGTGCAAACCCTCTATTGTATCTAGCATTCCATCTACATCATGTTCAGTTACCAGATTGCACCAAAAAGCTAACAAAAAAATACATCTCTGTTTAAGGCTGTGAATATTGCTCGATGTGTCTTCAAAAATTCTATTGTTTCTTTCAAGCCAGACAGTCCACCAAATAGCTTGAGGTATAGTATTCCAAGTTCTTAGAGATTTCTTACTAATCCCCTCTCTGCTCCAACCTTGCAAGAGCTCAACAATTGATTTTGGCATGGTCCAGCTCATGCCCAAAATTACCAGAAACATATTCCACAGCTGCCTAGTGACCGTACAATGCAAGAAGAGATGGCCAACTTCTTCCAGATGCTCTTCACACAGTGGACATCTACTGCACAGTTGAAACCCCCTCTTTTGGAGGTTCGATTGTGTAAGACAAGCCTCCCGAGCAACAATCCAAGAGAAACAAGCAACCTTCAAAGGAGCCTTGCTTCTCCAAACCTTTTCCCAAGGACATAATACCCCGTCGCTGCTAGAATCCAAGCATGTGGTAACAACTTTTGACTGAAAAGAGACCCTGTTGATCGCTTTTCCAACCTATGGAGTCTGTTTTGTTGTGATCCAAGGTTATGTTGTTTAACCTCTGAAGCAAAATACATAGTTTTTCCACTTCCCAATCATTAAAATCCCTTCTAGGAAAAAGATTCCACCCTTGTGTTGAAAAGAATACTGCAATTTCTTTTGGAACGAAGCTGTGGCAGATGCTTGATTAGCCATTATGTGTGATACTCTGATGTGAATGGAGCTTATGTTGTTACCATACACAACTAGCATGGATTTTCTGGTACTTGTACAGTACAGTACAAATGGTTATTGTGTATTGTTAGACTACTTTTGGTAAAGTGTACAACCTATTGTAAATTCCACGTGGCTTAAAGAATAGCACCGGCTGAGATTGTACGATCCAGGTTCAGGCCAGTTAGCATAGAAGGGCAAACGTGATATGAAAGGGTAATGGCGAGGGTGTCTTTTATTGCTAACTTTCGACGGAGGGCAAAGTTAGACAATATCAAGTAGTTGAGGGAGAAATTTGAACATTTTCCCTAGTTCTTATTGATGTGGAACATAGTAAACGGTGCCCCAAAAAAGTTTGCCAGTTTTATTCATTGCGTGTGTTATTTTACCGATTTCTTTCTTTGGATCAGAGAATTGTGTGATACTCTACTCTTTCTATGGGCACAGATAGATTTTGCTCTTTTCAACGCTCAAGATGTGAATTCCAATCCAACTATATTCGCTGAACCTTTGACTGAGGACTTGTGCATATGTTAATACATGACTCTAAATCGAAATAATGTTGAAATATAATGGTTCTGAGATAGCAACTTTCTTTGAACTAAGACATCGGTTTTTATTAATTGACACATGGAGCTTGTAGTGCCTGGTCTGCATGTGATTTTGGACGCTTTTTCTGTTCTTTTACAGGGCAAGTGACAAGTGTCAGAAAGAGAAGAGAAAGACAATTAATGGAGATGATTTAGTATGGGCACTGACCACCTTAGGATTTGAGGAGTACATTGAGCCACTAAAGGCCTATTTGATTAGGTACAGAGAGGTAACTGCAGTTCCTTCTCTTTTTGCAACAATGAATAAGCTTGAGTGTATGAAGAGTTCTTGATGTTCTTGCACACGTGTTTACAATTGACAATTAAAGAGAGATGGAATAGTTCTTTTCCCCTCATCTGGAAGATCTGCTGTGCATCCGTGGTCTATATGAACTTTGTTACTGTAGTAGAACCTGTAATTTAATCCCCATATCATTTTCCAATTATCAACTGATCGATGTCTCTTTTTCTGGTGATCGAATTATTCTTTTTGCTGGGCTGTGGGTTAATCATGGTATTGCAGATGGAGGTATGCATTGCTTCCCCGCATCAATGATATAGAGTTGCTTATTGTCTTTAACTCTGATATGTTACTAGCTATGCCCCGGGGATTGTTTCTAATGTCAGGGAGACACCAAGGGATCTGCTAGGGGTGGAGACGGGCCTGCTAGAGAGGATATAGTTGGAGGTCAGCTCAATTCCAGTACACAGGTAAGAAGGCACCAAATCTCTGTTCACCGTGTTCTGGTAAGTAATGTAGGTTTTATTATTTTGACTCCTATTTTTCATGGAAATTGGCAGTTCGTCTATGAAGGGTCTTTTACACACGGCTTAGACTATGGGAACTCCCAAATGTGAATTTTTGAGTAAGTGCTTCTTCATTCTCCTCCCTCCTGTTGTGAATGTTTAGTAAAATAAGAATGATTTCTAGCACAGTAAGTTCTCATGCTAAAAAATCTGGCTTCTCATTCTTTTTCCTTTTTGTGAGAGGGTTTTATTTTTTATTTTTTTGATAACCGTGTGTGGGATAAGACTAGGTATGTTGTTGTTGTTGATAACCGTGGTGTCTGGTTATCAACAAAAAAAATAAAAAATCCTCTCACAGAAAGGAAAAACAATGAGAGGGGTTCCTACCTCTCAAAAGCGTGAATTAATGTAAGACAAGGTTGAAGCACAAAATTTTGGGGGGAACTACAACTGAACTGTAAATTACTATCAGCACTGAATGAAGAATATTACATTTTCTTTTGCTGAACAGAGCTTAATATACTTCCTTCTACGATGCTGTCTTGAAGAACATGTACGCATTGATAATCTAATTCAAGTCCTAATTGTTTTTTGTCAATTTGCAGAAGAACGATGGTGCAGATACGAGTATCTTCCGCCTTCTGCTCTTGCTGATATATGTGCTAGACCACTCGAGGATTACAGTGTTATTTGTTTGAAAGCACTAGTAACCTGAAGTATCCTGCAAATCTTGAATTAAGCGATACTAACACTTTTGTTTTCTGTACTACTCTTTTAAGTACTTTGATGATCTGTAAATGCAGTTTTGACTTTTAATGTTATAGACTGATAACAATCTTCTTTTTCTGCAATATTCGCCATGTTCTAAGGTTGAATGACCTTAGCTTTTCTTTTTAAGATCTCACTTTTGGGAGTGAGCAAAATCATTCTACGTATTTTTCTGGTCAGAAACCATCATCTGTGAGGGTACTGACTCGAAATTTCTGGGACGCTGAACTTAACCAAAATAGGCGTATGTAGATGAAAGCAACCAGATATTATGTAGGTGTATTTTCTGCTTTGTAAATCTCCATTGATGTTACTCAACCAAGCGTTTTTAGCATTGCCAAAGGATTGCGCAGTCAAAACCAGCTAGTAGAACTAATTGCCTATTGGGGAAAGATAATTTTATTTATTAAAGCGAATGGGGAGAACAGGAACTTAAGAGCTAAGTTATTGTTTGCAGTTAAGGAAGAATATATTTCACTTCTTAACTTCCAACAAACATCTATTTAGATTAATTTCAACAATATATACGAACATGGAAGATAATAATTTTGAAAAACTAAGACGAGTACTAAATTAACAAATGCACGATCAAAATATGATAGTTAGATTCATGTAAAAATAGCACGGGCTAATAAGTTTTCGGGCTGATAATTCAAAAATAGCCAGCGTTTGCAAAGTCATTGAAAAATAACTATCATTTTGCTACAACACGGATGCAGCATAATATACTGGAAATTGGTGCACATGTGTATGAACTTCCAGCAAACTCTCACACGCAGAAAGTTCCAACATAATATACTGGAGATTGGAGCACTTGTGTATGAACTTCCAGCATATTATGTTGGACCGGTATATTATACTGGAACTCCAGTATATTATGTTGGAATATTTTTCGGATTTTGAACAGTATTTTCATTCAGATTTATCTTTACATGAAAAGTGACTAAATTTCGATTACTTTTGAAATTGTGTCTATTTTTCAATTACCACCTGTAAATCTGACTATTTTTGAATTTCTCGCAAGATTCATCACATGACTATTTCCTCCGGGCAAGTAAACCCATGATTAAAATCAGTTTTCAAAGTCATTTTGAACCTTAAGGCTCAATTAGTGTTGTCTGGAGCTCAAAAACATGTCTTCAGACCGAGTAAGTTATCTGCAGACATACATAACTATCTGGCATGATCCCAAAATGTTTCAAGGTAAACCAACAACGGTGACATCTTGGCAGCAGCTACAGAGGTTTACTAGCAATACTGAAAAATGCATTATGTGCATTCATCATGTCCACTTGAGTATCCTCCAATTGAGACCTCAAACAATCGATCTCACGGTCCTTAACCTCCTTCCTTGAAATAGCCAAGGAAATTTTATCCTGTATTTCTGCTATTTGTTTGTTGATCTCTTCAATCTTTCCATCAGTATTTTCTCTGTCTGTATTATGCATCATAATCTGATTACCAATATCTGCAACCTGTGCTTCAAGCTTTTCCTTCTTATCTTTCATCAACAACAACTCAGTTAAACGATCTCGTACAGGCTGCACATCAAATCCATGCTTTTCCGCGTCACTGAGAGTCTCCAAAATTTCATCAAAGGTGCTTCTGGGATCGTCAATGTGCAACCAAGAAGTCTTCTCTGCCATTCTTGAAAAAGTTACCATACAACCTATAGCTAGTCTTTCACGGGAACTCTCTCTCTCTTTTTCCAATGGACTAAAATGTGGCGCCTGAGGAATCCTCTGGAAAATATCCATGGATTCAATTTTCCCCCAAAGTAGTGAAGTTTTTACAAAAGGCAAGCTCTGGGTTTCAGTTTGGTTGGTTGGGGTCCCGTTGACAGGAGTTTGCATAGGCATGTCTTGTTTCTCCCTCATCTCACCACATTGCTGCAGACTACGTGCAGGTGAAACTCCTGGAGGAGAAGATATCATCAAACAACAGCCAGAACAGGAAGTGGCTAATGAAAGGTTAGTAGCTTACTCGATCCATTAAACCACTTCTCGGGGAGAACAGCGCAGGACACCTTGAGGAGAAATCTGAAAATAACATTTCACCCTCAAATTCTAGGCGGAAGGAATTTATGATATACCTGTTGGGGTTGAAATTGGTTTCTTCGATGGGCTTCCCCCTTTTTTCCTCTGACCGCTCTCTCCATCACCTGACTTTTTGGTCTCCTATCCCATAGTATACCAAAAAAATAGAGAACCTACACAATTAATTAAGCTTCAAAGCTGCAGTAAATTCTAAGACAAACATTCACAAAAAGCGAACATTCATTTAACATAATATTACAAGAGATGATACCGCACACAACTAGCTTTTACTTTGTCATTCTAGCATGCCACACCTCCCATTTCTTTCTTTATTAATTTCAAGACACTCGAAGCAGAGAGGTGACTAAAGGAGCAACAGATCACTTCCATTTTCACCATGCATTTTAATTGATCTCACCCCCATCCCCCGGCTCCATACGCAAGAAAAATTGGCAGTAATTTTCAGCTCTTTTCATGCAAGAAAGATTAGCAGGTTGGTCATCTCCAGCTACAGGTACTAAATCTTCATTTCAGCATATTCATGAGTTTGGGTTGGGATAATCAGAGGGACTCTTTGTTAGGATTTGCACTAAGTTTAGATGCTTTAGCCTTTAAGTTACATCTTTGGAGTTTTAGTTCCCTCTTTCGGCAGCACCAGGGCCTGCCAAGTAGGGATGGCAAGCGGGTGCAGGTTCTGTCTTAACCCGCAAAATTTCAACCTGCCCAGCCTCGCTAAATTTTTCTTTGTAGGCAAATCCACCAAACAGAATCGGATTTAACACTTTCGTGCTTAAAAGTGAGATGCGCTTTATGCACTGAAGTATATATTACTGGAGGGCCTGTCAAAGAGCACTAGACGTGTATTTTTTACCACACTAATAAAGTACATAAAAGATCTGGAATCACAACATCAACATAAACCTCACTGCTTAATCTTTGGCTTAGTTCAGTATCGTGCATTTTGCTTAGACAATGCACAGAATCAGATCAACCGAGAGCATTATCGAGTTAGCAATTCTTTGCTGGAGTCATATTTTACAACAAGATATGCAATCAAGAAAGTCAAAAGCACCAACTTAATTAGGAAGAAGCTAAAAGGAAAAGACATAACAAATTATAAAGCAAATGCTAACACATAATGAGCTTTAGAATAAAACTGGTGCATTGCAATCTAGTATTACAACTTACAGCAGCGGAAGGATTATATAATACAACCAAACCTCTTTATAACAACATCGTTTGTTCCGAAAAGGTTGCTGCTATAGTGAAATGCCGTTATAGATAACATATATCATAACATAACATAGAGAACTTGGCCGTTATAACGAAGTGCTGTTATAGAGGATGACTGCTACAAATAGGTATGCAGAGGCGTATCCAAGTTGAGGGATATGGGTTAACGTGAACCCATACTCATCTCCCTAAACCATGTATAACAATGTTATATTTCTTCAAAATTACTTAAATATATGCGCGTGAACCCATGCTCAAAGACTATAGTGCACCTCTACAAGTGAAATTGGATGTTCAAATCCCACTCTGACCGATTGTTTTCGGCACGGAGTATAGATATATATGTGAAAATTACTAAAATTTCAAAAAGAATATAATTTTGAACCAATAATTTTAAAAGTATAGTGGGTCATGGTAAGAGACTAAAGTTAAACCAGTCAAATATAAATTCTAGATACACCTCTTCACAATAGTGCACCCATCTCTTGAAATCCTGGATACGCACGCCTTTGGAGGTATGACCGTAAAACCACTACCACCATTATGACCACCGGGAAAGAAATTAAAGAATAATAGTAGCAGTCTGAACATTATCTCGGAAATACATACAAAAGATATTTTCCTTCATACACATAAACTGCTGAGCCCTAGTGAAATACATGCACACTTACAAAATGAATAAACCACGGATCCGAAATGATAATTACCTGCTTCCGGCCGGGTCGGACCCAGTTCCCTTTGACCCAATCTCTGTGAAATCTCAAGTCAGAAATCCCAAATTCAAGTTCCTCAGGCGGGTTTTGAAAGGTAACCTTGTATCTAGAATCTTCCAGAACACCTGTAATGGCAGCAGTCCACCATCCATCCTTATGAGATGCATCTACGGGGTCGTTTAACTCAAACCTCTCAATTTTTTCCTTAGGAGGAACTGGACGAACTAAAGACATATCCACATACTCTCTCAACGGCGCTGAACTATTTTCATCGGCAAGAATACTTTTGTACTCGACCAAAATCTCTTCCTTTTCTGAATTGGGAAGCCCAAAGAAGCCGAGAACAGTGGCTTCGAACCACACTCCCTTGAGCTCATCTTCGTCCGAGGTGACTTCTACTGTAGAGCCTTTGGTGAGATATTGTACGAGCATATTGTTTTTGTCTGAAAATCAATAGGAGAATCGAAAATGAGCGTAAAGGGATGGCGGTTTTGTGTTGTTTCATATTGTTTTGTTTGATATTGTATTGTATTATGCAGTATTAATGTATATAATATCTGAATATATTGTAGTATTGTTTATCGTTATTTTTTTGATGTTATGCACTTTTAATATTTTGATGTTTAGACTCTAATCTTATTTATTTTATACTTCGTTCTTCTCTATTTCTCTCCTATCTTCCCTTCTCTTTTTCTCTCCTGTAGGTGTTGAATTGACTGGAATTCAATTTCGTCACATATTCTCTCTATCGTGTGAATAACCTTAGTCTGTTTGACTTATTTACTCATTAATTAATGATTTATTGATGAAAAGTTCTACTCATTATCTAAATGAAGTTGCCATAAATCATGATTATTTCGGAAAGGAATGTTCACTATGACATATGATCTTCGATGTAATTAACGTACAAAGTGTGAAAAAAATAAAAGTTTGATGAATTAGAGTTTGCTTAGCTGTGTAAAGGGTGAAAACATGAGCTTAAACTCTATTCACGACCATTAAAAAACTTAGAAGTTTCGAATTCGAAAATTGAATTATGTAAAATTGTTCGCATCTTTTTGGATGGGATGTTGCAAATAATTGGGAATGGAGTTTGTATAACA